CCCCGCTTCTTCTTCGTACCTATGAAACTGAAAGCGTTTTCTCCTAAGAAAGGAATTTCACGTCCTTTGAGGAAAACAGCGGCCTTGCTAAGGACCTCGCTGCACTACTCTTGAAAGGTGCAAAACGAGAGTGAATCTTCCCCTAGAACATGGAAAGATACAGCCACATTATTTTTGTCTTTTGTGCATTTCAAGAGTAGTGCAGTGAGGCCCTTAACCTTATCTCTGTTAGACACTCCTCGGGGACGAGATTTCGAGGAATTTGTCATCGTTACACCCGTCCTCGGAGCCGATTTTCCCAAAAAAAATGTGAAAATGCTCCGAGGATGAATCCTCCGGCTCCCAGGATTTCCCAGCGGAATCGTCCTGGAGCCCTAAGGACCTTGCGAGGTCCTTCGGAGCCCGAGGATCCACGAGTCACGGGCCGGCGGCGACTCCACAACGGGAATTGGAGACACGAGGTGGTCCATTCTTGGTCCACCGGCCTGCACACGGAGATCACGCCCCCAAACCCCACCCCCCCCGCCTCCTCCAGCACTTGGACGTTCTCCAATGGCCTCCGCGAACTTACCATTGGCAGCGATTCGGCCGACGGCCGTGTTCGTCCTCTGGGCGGCCCTTGTACCATATTCGGCCAGCTTGTCTCGGGCTGTTGAGCTGCTGGCGGGCTCCACAACGGTCATGTTTACGAAGTCGCAGCCGTCCTCACAACGTCCCCGCATGCACAAATGCGTCCTCTCATCATGTGCGTCCTGCCAGTGTGTTTGCACGTGTCGCCTCAGCCAGTGGCGGAGTTTGTTTTCCCTGCAGTTCATGGCTGACCTGTTTCACAGGCGGCCTCTGCTGCTGCTCGTCGTTGTGCTGCTAGTCGTCGTTGTCGTTTTGAATGTCTGTTTTGTCAGGCGTGGTCGTCGTTGAAGAGTGATGCCGCGATCGTCGAAGAAGGCATCGACGAAGATGAACAACGTCCCGGGGGGGGGGTTGGGGGGGGGTTGGGGGGGGGTGTCATCAACAATGCGTCTGTAGTGTGCGGAAGGAGGCAGGCGGCCGTACGACCCTGCGATGTACAGCCACCTGCCTTCGTGGAAGACACCGTTGCCTTCGACGGACGACGAAGCCGATGATCCTCCGTCCGCCACGGTTCCGTTGGGCAGAGGTTCCACGCAAGATTGGATGGGGACCCAGCACTTCACACATCCACCGACACCGACGTACATCGATCTTCTGGAGGAACGTGCACCGGCAGGATACGACACAAGGGCGGTCGACCTCAGCTTCGATCTGAGGCCGGGTAGCTGTGACGACGTCTTGTGACGCCCAACCTCACGCCCGGTGCGACTTCCTAATCGGAGTGGGATGGGGGCCCGGAAGTGCGAAAAGGGGTGTGCCAAGGATTTTTGGGAATTTGGGGTGGCGCCCCAGGTCGGAACTATGATCTCTTGTGGCAAGTTTCAGGGGTAGGAGTGCAAGTGTCTTCTTGCTCAGAGTTGGGGCGACGACCGATCGTGCTAACTGGGCCGAGGTGGGGTGCTACGGATGTCTCCGTGGGAGTGCTCGTACCGCTGCCGACCGTTGCTCATCTCGGGGTCCGACGAAGATGAGCTGGATTCTCGTCGCTCGGCCCTGGGTTCGGCTTGTTGCGCGACCCTCGCCTGGCGATGCTCGTCGGGCTGCCGACACTCCAAGCACGGCGGACGGGGCCAGAACCGGGCTATGGAATCCCAGGGGACCACCAGTAACCGGCGGTAGGGGAGGACGGTATAGTAGGGAGGGAAATCAGTGGTAATGGCCACGAAGCTTGGGGTTAGAAGATATTGTTGCTTTTGGCTGTCGGGATAATCGGGAGTCCGTGAGTCCCGGTTGATTTCCGGTTGGAAGTCGCCCCTACACAGTCGCTCATTTTCAGTTCGGCAGGGGTACTCAAGGTACCCAGGGTTCCGTAGGTGGCGATGTTGTCGAATTCGCTGTCGGTGGATTTGTTTCCTCTCCCAATATGCTCGGTATTCTGGGTCCCTCAGGCTTTCGCGATCGGTGATCCAGAAAGGGGAATCTATCGCCATGTCTCATTCAACCGAATTCCTGCACACACATCTTTCTACGGGACGAGATCGTGGCTGGCCTTTGGAGGCGCACGTGTAGACGGCTTGTCCGTGGGCGGCCGCTGTCTTACACGTGTGTGCGCAAGGGCCGGCGGATCAGATCCTAAACTGCGCAAATAACCAAGGAGTGATCCGTCAGCGTATCGACTTAGTCATGCAACCAATTCCCTCAGGCTATCAATCTCGTTCCGTTCTGGTTTGGCACAAAGCATACACACTCATCGATCCGTGTATGTTTGAGGGCGTCGGGTCCTTAATTTGTCCCGACCCGTATCGTAGATAGGGATTCCATCATTCACATCTAGATCCGTCGTGCTAAGTCCCTTCGAGGTTGTGGGCCGGCCTCGTGGGTGCGCGTGTAAGTCGTGCTCGTCAGATTGGACTTACGTGGGGACTCACGGGGTTGGTTCGCTGTGGGTCGAGTCATCAGCCAATCACTTGGAGGTTGAGGGCCGGCCTTGCGGGTGCACGTGTAAGTCGTGCTCGTCAAATCGCACTTATGCGGGGACTCGCAGGGTTGGTCCGCTGTGGGTCGATCCATCAGCCAATCACCTGTGCAAAAGAAGGTTCATGCAACAACCCTTCACACAACCTTGCTTGAGCAGAAAGCAGTTATGTGGCCATCAGGGGGGTGTCTCATCACCATCCAGACATTCATCGAAACATCGTAACAAAATCAATTTCTTTCTCCTACCAATCACCCGGGTGTGAATGGACCAGTGCTGCGAGTATTGAATGATTCAGGATTACACGCAAAACAACGGTTATTCAAGTATTACAAGATCATCAGACCCATCCCATCAAGCGAATGCAAGGGCGAAAGAGGGAGGATAGAGATTGAGCCGTACATCACACAAAGCCGAAAGAAATATCAAAATGCAAAACAAGGGCGTCTCGCCCGGAGCCAAAATTTCATACACAAGGACTGAGAAAAGACAAAGAAGATTGCAATCCCACACCCGTCTCTTTTCTCTCTCTCTCTCTCTCTCTCTCTCTCTCTCTCTCTCTCTCTCTTTCTCTTTGTCTCTTTTCTCTCTCTCTCTCTCTCTCTCTCTCTCTCTCTCTCTCTCTCTCTCTCTCTCTCTCTCTCTCTCTCTCTCTCTCTCTCTCTCTCTCTCTCTCTCTCTCTCTCTCTCTCTCTCTTTCTCTCTCTCTGATGCGGACAGTCTGTCGTCTCGCATCCACCAACGAAAATGTCACCCCGCTTAGTCCGCATGCGCCCATCAGGTTCGCCCGTGCGCCACAGTCCGTTGTGGCCTACACGTCAACCCCGCGCACTTGGCACCAGCTCGTCGGGTCGTCCAACTCCCACATCCACTCACCTCTTACTTCGCTCATTAGTCGACCCTCACTGATCACGCTAACCTCGAGCCTCCAAAAAGTTTTAAGAGAGCTATCTAATCGCGCTTGCGGAATTTATAACATGCATACATGCGCGAAGAGTGCAGGATTGCATGAACTGAGAAGGGGAAGAAGGGAAGGAAGTGCCTGCGTGCTACATGACCAGGCCGCGCATGGGGGACGTAGCCACTCTCCACGCATCGATCTGAGCATGCAGCGTGTCGGCTAATCAAAACACAGCAACAAGAAGAAGGAGAGGCGGGAAGAAGGGGAAAGCAAGAAGAAGGGGTACAATTATAATTACACCCGCCAAAGATTACAGTTACACGCACGATTAAGGCGCGGATGGAAATCAGAGCCCAGATCCTGACAAGGCGCAGCGTGTGCAAGCAAGAAGCGTTGCGCAACAAAAATTAAGAGGGAGCCTAAATTCCTAGCCTAGGGTCTACTTGCAAAAAGGAAATTCCGAGAGAAAAATAATTTCGAGAGCCCGTGGGGCTTGACATCAGTTGAAATTTCAAAAACGAAAATTCCCGCACACAAATCGCGCCAAAATTCCTTGCGCCCCCAGCAGAACAAGAAAGAAGCTATGGCAACCATTATTCTTCGCGCTCGCTGAGGCGTGGTCACTCAATCGTCGGCGAGGGATTTTCCCAGCGCTCGCCCATCACCATAAAAAAGGAAGAAGCGGCACCAAAAAGAGAAAAAAAAAAGAAGTGAGGACATCGATGCAATTTACCCGTCGATCCTACCTCCCGTAATTGGCCTAACTTTCCCCGATGCGAAAGACCCCTCTTATCATCGCGCAGGAAATCGCGCAGAACAAAAATTGGTTCATCACAGTCTCACGCACAGTTGTGGTCAGTCTCGCTTCAACAAGCTTTGATGCAAGGCTATCGGGGAGCACGGGTGGGCTTCCACCAAACGACGACTTACGCTAGCGTGGGCTACCCTACGATCGTGGATCGAATTCAGCACGGGTGGGGGCTGTTGGCAGTGTCGGTGTGGCTGCGTCCAAGACGAGGACGACCGGGTCACAACCGTGCAGATCGACGAGGCCTGGTAATCCGACAGACGGGTAAGGAGACGAGGAGGAGTGGTCGGCCACAGAGGTTGTCGGACAACAGGTGTGGGAAGATCAGTGGCGACATTTGAGGCAGTCAACGACGTCCGGCATAACGAAAGGTGTGGTGAGGATGAACGTCGGTGTAATGGATACAATCGCCGAAAACGACAATGGAGGGCCTGAAGATAGCGGACGTGAAGACGGTGCGAACGACCATGACGAAGAAGACGAGGACAGCGAAATGGACATCCGTCCAGTCGGGAGGAAACGGGGAGTGCGGTCTGCCCCGAAGAAGTGTAGTGAAGCGCGCGCGGGGAGGAAGGCGAAGAAGGCTGCAGAAGACACGTTCGCAGGTGAGGGAAGCAAAACGAGAGAGTTTTGGTCGGTCTAGCATATGATCGCTCTCGTCCGAGCTAAACGCGACCAGGACATGCATCTCGCGAGCCTTGGACATAACTACATGCGGATGAAATCACGGACGTGGAAGTGGGATGACGTGGAGAAGAGGCTAGTGAAGGCAGGGGTGACAACCAGGAAGGCCGACGACTGCGGGAAGAAATGGGACAACCTCTATCAGCAGTTCAAACGTATTCATAAATTCATGGGTTTGTCCGGGAAAGAGAATTTCTTCACTTTGACACCTGCGCAAAGGAGGGAGAAAGATTTCGACTTCCAGATGGATGAGCGTGTGTACTGGGAGATGGAGGCCATGACAAAGGCAGATCACACCGTCCATCCAGCCAACCTGATGGACACGGGAGCGGTGGGGGGTGTCCAGGTGGGCGATTCTGCGGCCGGACGGCAGGAGTCGGTGCCTAGCGAGGGGGGTGGAGAGGGGCAGGACGACGAGGCGGGATCGACGCGGGATTCAACGTTTACCGGCGGGAGTAGTGGAGGGGCCGGAAAAAGTAAAAATGTCAAACAGCAAACCTTTGAGGCGATCGCAGACGTCATGGACAAGCAAGGGCAACTGATGGCGACAACAGTGGACTCTGCGAGCAAACGGCAGTGCTCGGTTCTAACGAGGCAGTGTGATATTCTCGAGCAGGAGGTGGACGTCCATAGACAGCACTACGAAAAGGCCGATCAGGCGAACCTGATGATGTGCAACGCTCTGTTGGAGATTGCGAAAGCGATTTGGAAACGATCATGAGGTCATCTTCGTGTGTACTGCTAGTCTATTTTTCTTGTCACCCTTTGCTGCAGTTTAGACAATCGGATGGATGTTGCGTCGGGCGGCAACTGGGAAGGAGAGGAGGTGGACGAGGTGTTACATTCATGCGGAATTTAAAGGGCGTGGGAAGGGTACGTGGCCCAACTGCGCGGGTCAGCATGCAAGATGGCTGGAGGAACTTTCTGTATGTCTTCTTGGAGGGACTAGGCGGCACACTGCGCTGTCTTTTTCATGCAACTCTGGAGTTGTGAACGACGCATGGGTGATGGCGGGAAAAATACGGTGAGCTGGAGCGTCGACGCGGGCCCAGGCAACGGGCGAGCCTACGCACTGGTCGGGTAAAGAAGGTCCGCGTGCATTTTACGAAAGGACAGGGAGCATGTCCGGCGACGCTTGTCCTTGTTTTGTTGGAGTGCATCGAAAGCTACAAAAGGGCGGTGCGCCCGCCATTCCGTGCCGCAGTCTACCCGTAGCCTTTCTGCCAGACGTGCAATCTACGGGGTGCTCTCTCGCGTCGCAGACCGCACACCGTCGTCCACATGCCGCAACGGAACACGACAACGAGGGGGAGGAGAGAGAGCGGAGGAGGAGAGGGGGGGGAAGGCAAGAGAGGACGGGGCCACTTCAGGAAGTCTGCAACAAAGATCGTAGTTGATAACAACTCGGATGGCGACGAAGAAGAGGTTAATGTGGCGGTGGAGGGCGTCCAAAGCCAGCAGGCGGGCGGGCGATTGGGTTTCGGGCGGGCTGGTGTGCCGAGGGCGCTGGTGGTGGCATTAAAGCAAGCTGGCGGAAGTGCTGCCATCGTCGCCCAGGTGAGGACACCAGAGGGAGGCGGGTTAGTGATCAACGAGGGGCGGTCGCCGAGGCCAGTCCTCCCGGCAGGGGGTGTGGCTTCAAGCGCCGCTCGTGATACGATCATCCTGCTCGCTGGGGCAGGGCGGGTGGGGAAGAAGGTCACGTCTCCATCGCCAACCCGTGAAGAGCTGACAACGCAACAGGCGGGCGGCTCGGGGACGGGCAAGGCGAAGTCCCCTTTGCGGGGCGGGGAGGGTGGGGTCACAGGGATGGCCCCCCCCAACGAACATCAGCCCTGGGCGACTGGGTCAGATGGTGGCGGGGAAGAGAGAAGGGTAGTGGACGTTCGCCACGAAGACGACAGAGGGGATGGGAGGCGGGAGAGCGACAATGACGACGATAACCGCCCTTCAAAAAGGTTGAAGAAGCACGGCCCGGGGGATGATATGGAGCGTAGGTCGATATTGTGGGTAGATAGCAACGCGTTTTGGGGTCAAGGTCCCCGCAAACCGTTGAGGGAGGCGGTTACGGACTGCACGGATTACTTCATCGCCATCGTCAATGGGGACTAGGGAGTTTAGTCGTCGTCCATGCTCATCATGCCGCCTGCTGATATCCACCGCACGAAGATCGACGACCCTACGCAGCTCGATTTGGCTTTGCGGAAAGCGAGGGCTGTCGAGAAAATCGTGATGCGAGCAATCCACAGGTGGATCTTCAAGTCGTCATCAAGATCGAATGGCTTCGCACGTGCGGAGTCCTACATCACCTTGGACTACGTCGCTGACGTCGCGCGTGCTTTGTGGCAAGGCTTGGAATGGTCGAGAGTGGTCTCCTCTACGCTCCTCTACTACACATTGCTGATGAAGATGGGCGTGCCTCTTTGGTTTGCGGGGTTGAAAATCGTCGACAGGCCTAAAGATGATGACATGGCCGCATAGCAAGAGGCGACAATCATTCGCGTGGCGGACTGCTGGACGGGTGCGTTGCACTGTGGGCAGTGGACGGACGACGGTAGGTTGAAGCACGATAGGCAGACTAGACTCGCAGATTGTTTGCGTTATCTTGTAAGCGCTTGCATGTGGATCATGCCAATGGGTGGCGACGAATATCGCTCGCACTACGACGCAGGATACTTCGTTGCACTCACTGCAGAACCCACCCTCGTTGTTGCGGGCTCTTACGCCTTTAACTAGAGGCATCACATCGTTGATACGACGAACATCGTGTTGGATCGTCTGGGGAAGCCACATATCACGATGAGAGAGTATCCGCACTGCGGGGTGCTGTGCACTCGCAATGCGGCGCTGAATATGTTGTTGAGGCCGCCAATCACGACTGGATCGGGAGTGGTCCACCGACGGCTGACGATGAAAACGAAGGGAAGTGAGAGACAGATGAAGGGACGAGCCTCCTACACACGACGATAATGGCCAATCTTCATATGAATAGTTGAAGCAAGGGGGAGGCTGTTGAAGACGACAATGACGATGATAAGAGGCAGGCATCGTTATGTGATGGGATGATACCATGGGTAGGTGCCCAGCGTGACGAGCGGCGGCTCGGGCGTGGGCGCAAGCCACGCCGGCGAGAGGGTGCGGGTGCAGGGGTGTGCGGGTGCGGGGCGTGCTGATGCGAGGGTGTGCGGGTGCGGACTCTTAGTTGCGTGTGAACATGGCGAAGGCAATAGGAGGGTGTGCGGGCGGCGAGGAAGGAGGGGGGGTGCGCGAGCGGCGAGGAAGAAAGCTCCCCATTTTGCATACTGTCGACTGTCGTCAACTCCGCAGTGCATGCGAATGTCGCCTTCCGGGTCACCCATGGAGTGCCTGCCGCACCATCCCCGCTCGTCGCCCACGTTTCCGGTTGTGACTGTGCACGGTGTTGCTGTCGTTCACTTCACTTTGTGTTGGATCGCCATGAAGTTCGGCCAGTGGGAGAAGTTAAATAAAGAGAGGTGGTTAGAGAGCGGGCAAGCGAGCGAGCGAGCGAGAGAGAGAATAGATATATATATGTATATATATGTGGGTAACTTGGACGCAATTACAAAAACAGTTTGAAAATGTACTTTCGTCGGGCCAATGAATAAAGCTCAGCCCCGTGTGGTCCACCTGACCCGAAATCTTACTGCATTTTCAAGACTTAAATCCTATTATATGTTAGTAACTGCACAGTGGTTTGCCAAATGTATGTAAATATAACATTTTATTCGTTAAAATATGACATTATATTTTAAATTGGTACTCGCAGGCTATTAATTTCATGTTAAAATCACCATATTTTGGGTTTGGATGAAACCTAGTATATCAGTAGTGAAGCCGAAGAATGCAATTGGCAAGCCGTAAATTGAAATTCAACCGGAGATGCAAGGCAATCACGTACTTCCATAAGTTTTGTAAGTTAACTTAAGAGTTGTTATGTAATAACATGGAGTTGTCAAAAATGGAAAATTAAGAGAAACTATTACACTCAATGCATTGAGACACTAAACAACAATGTTAAACTCTCGATTTCATAACACCTTGCTCAATTTTACATGACATTGTGACTTGCTGTATTCAAACTCAATCAAGGCAATCACACGGTAACGAGATGGTTTAAGTATGGATTCCGTCGCACTTCGATAATTTATGTACTAACTTAAAAGACGTATAGAAACTCAAGAGAAGTTCAACTGTTACACTCAATGCATTGAGACACTAAACAACAATGTTGAACTCTCGATTTCATAACACCTTGCTCAATTTTACATGACATTGTGACTTGCTGTATTCAAACTCAATCAAGGCAATCACACGGTAAACGAGATGGTTTAAGTATGGATTTCGTCGCACTTCGATAATTTATGTATTAACTTAAAAGATGTAACCGGTGTGACTTGTTTAAATTGCAACTCAACCGAAAAGTAAAGGCAATCACACGGTAAACGAGATGGTTTAAGTATGAATTCCAACCCACTTCGATAATTTTCGACTCCATTGCACTTTGATAATTTATATTTAATTACTTAAAAGACGTAACAGGCATATCATTGTTATACATTGAAATTCACTCGAACAACGAACTTTGAGACACTAAACGACAAGGTTACGAATGACCTCGAAGTCTGCATGACACTTCGATTAACTTCACATATCACTAAGCATTGAGTCGGACTTACTTTACATGACATTGTGTGAAGCAGAAACGGAATGGGGATTGAAGAGTCAATGCAATCACACTGTAAACACGTACAAGAAATCGTAAATGCAAGATTGAACTACGTCTAAATTAAATGCTATGAGTCAGCTCAAAATTGAACCACATCTTAAATATATGTTACTGGCAGCCATAATCTAAAATTTCTAAAACGCTTTCATTTACAAATTTAAAATTTCTACCGGCGTCCTCGCGTCCCATGAGAAGTAAACCCGTATAAGGCATTCATTGACAACGCGAAAGCAAGGGTTTGTGGTTGTCCCTTCATCGCCACATTCGAGAAGACAGAAATGTACTTCATCCTTACAAACCTATCGACACCTGCTAAGGACTTACCGATGGCGTCACGCACACAACATGCCACTTGCTCTACCTCATGCCACTTATGAACCTCATTAATTTGACCTACAATCTCTAAATCGGACTCTCCGCTCTCGTACAACAGGCGCAGATTCCGCATGTTGTGACCATAGATTCTAAGCTCGTTGCAAGAAACTAGCGCTACAGCGTCTACCAAAGTCCGCTTTCGGTTTGAACATGCCACATACAACACTTTGCAAAAGTCTAAACCGGTCACAGACAACCGTATGGAACAGTACGACACATCCTTTGGCCGTATTCCGACACCGCGCAGCGGATATGCTTCCAAAAATGGATTGTAGGATGCACAGTCTATCAACTCTTGTTTCAAGTCCACAGATCACACACGAGGTGACCTCGTGACGTTGTCCATGCGAAGGTAAAGCCGTTTTTTCTCTTCCTGTCTGAGTGCGGCGCGCAAGGACGGAAGTTGCCTAACGCCAATGGCATAATGAAGTACTTTGATAAAAATCCCCCACTCCATTGCTTAAGCAAACTTGAACTCCTTATGCCATGGGCATTTCCTTGTCAATATCGCTCTATCCTATTCTGCGTTGGACTACGCATTGAGCCTTGTCCAAGAACGGAACAACGCTCATCCACAGGTCGTTTTCAAACTCCGTTGTCATCGGCTCGAGAATTTTGGTATCGCCACCCCCACCCGGCAATCCGCATGCACAAGTGTTAATGGGATACGAATAATCATGCCAATTTGTCATGACTCCTGTCGCACTCCCTACACAACACATCAAATGCAAACACAAATGAAAATGAAATGTCGAAAAAATATAAAAACCGCCTTCAATATTAACTTAACTTCAAAAATTACTTAACCATCCCCCAACCATCTTAAAAAGGTTAACCTACTGAGTACTCATTTTTCAAAAATCCTATTCCCGCACTCTATTGGGCGGACGTGCACTCGTCGATTTTAACAGAAAAATTCCCACAAGAAATGAAAGTTTAAAAAATAATTCATTAAAGAAAAATCCTTCATATTTAAAACTTATCATTCCAATGTCCATCCAATTTTAAAATTCCCAGTTTGATTTGATAAGTTCCCGTCTAAAAATGAGTTTTCCCTTCCAACTATATCTATTTGTTCAAAATGGAATGGAAGTGTGGACGAACTTATAAAATGTGTAAATTAAACTTTCATTCTAATACAACAAATACCTTCTAATTTAAATTAAATAAATATATTTATCATTAAAAATCCTTATATAAAATGACAGTCTAATTAAAATATTTCATGAACTCATCCACACTTTCATTCCATCTCTAGCATGCAGTCCAAATGAGAAAGGATACCCCATTCTTGGAAGGGAAAATTTTCTAGGTTACCTGATCGGACGTCCGGGACCCCCCTGACCATTCAGGGTTGTCCGCTCGGACAACTGGTCGGACATCCTCCCCTGGCAGACTGTCCGAGCTCCAACGGAAAAAAAAAAAAAAACCTCCAAAACATCTAAAAAAAAACTATGTTATGCAGAAACATAAACTGAACAACTTTTGTCATGGGATAATATCGAAATTCGTTGTCAATTTTAAAATAAAAAATCAAATTAAAGACATCCCCAGTTTTTTTTTATTTTTTTCGTGCATTTAATTGCCATGCATTTAATTGCTAAAAATAGCGTTGTCCGGGCCCGAACGTTCGGGACCCCCCTAAGTGTCCGCCCAGGACGTCCAGCCATCGGACAACTGGTAACATAGAAAATTTTAAAGTACGACTGAAAATTTTAAAAGTGGAATGACATTTTTTAACATGGAGTGAAAATTTAAAATTTAGAATGTAAATTAAACTAAATTTACTATAGAATGATTATTTAATTCTAAGAAATGTTTCTGTTGTTTCTCTCCCGCATCGGCACTCCCTTCAGCAGATGGACTCAGATCTCGAAGTGCAGCTTCAACATTTAGTCGAACATTGGAAGGAATGACAAGTGCAGTCGTTAAGGGTTTTGTACCTTTACCCGGTCTCTCCCAACCAAAAGCGATTGAGTCAGCATGCTGCCATTGTGTCTGGTGAGTCATTTTCCATCTTTTCTCCCATGCGTTATCATACAGTTGTGAAAG